ACAACAAGAACAACTACTACAACAACTGCTACTACAACAACTGCTCACACAAGAACAACTACTACAACCAACTGCTACTACAACAACTGCTACTACAACAACTTCTACTACAACAACTATACAACAACTGCTACTACAACAACTACTACAACAACTGCTACTACAATAACTGCTACTACAAGAACTGCTACTACAACAGCTGTTACTACAACAACTGCTACTACAACAACTGCTACTACAACAAGAAGAACTACTACAACAACTGCTACTACAACAACTGCTACTACAACAACTGCTACTACAACAAGAACAACTACTACAACAACTGCTACTTCAACAACTGCTACTACAACAACTGCTACTACAACAACTTCTACTACAACAACTGCTACTACAACAACTACTACAACAACTGCTACTACAACAACTGCTACTACAACAACTGCTACAACAACTGCTACTACAGCAACTATTACAACAACTTCTACAACAACTGCTACTACAACAACTGCTACTACAACAACTACTACAACAACTGCTACTACAACAACTGCTACTACAACAACAACTACAACAACTGCTACTACAACAACTACTACAACAACTGCTACTACAACTGCTACAACAACTGCTACCAAAACTGCTACTACAACAACTGCTACTACAACACTACTACAACAAACTGCTACTACAACAACTGCTACTACAACAACTACTACAACAACTGCTACTACAACAACTGCTACTACAACAACTACTACAACAACTGCTACTACAACAACTACTACAACAACCGCAACCACAACAACTACTACAACAACTGCTACTACAACAACTGCTACTACAACAACTACTACAAACAACTGCTACTACAACAAACTGCTACTACAACAACTGCTACTACAACAACTGCTACTACTACAACAACTACTACAACAACTGCTACTACAATAACTACTACAACAACTGCTACAACAACTACTACAACAACTGCTACTACAAAAACCAACAACTATTACAACAACTGCTACAACAATTGCTACTACAACAACTGCTACTACAATTGCTACTACAACAACTGCTACTACAACAACTGCTACAACAATTCCTACTACAACAACTGCTACTATAACAACTACTACAACAACTACTACAACAACTACTACAACAACTACTACAACAACTGCTACTACAACAACTGCTACTACAACAACTACTACAACAACTACTACAACAACTACTACAAACAACTACTACAACAACTGTTACTACAAAAACTGCTACTACAACAACTACTACAACAACTGCTACTACAACAACTGCTACTACAACAACTGCTACTACAACAACTACTACAACAATACTACTACAACAACTGCTACTACAACAACTACTACAACAACTGCCTACTACAACAACGTACTACAACAACTGCTACTACAACAAATACTACAACAACTGCTACTACAACAACTACTACAACAACTGCTACTACAACAACTGCTACTACAACAACTGCTACTACAACAACTACTACAACAACTGCTACTACAACAACTACTACAACAACTACTACAACAACTGCTACTACAACAACTACTACAACAACTGCTACTACAACAACTGCTACAACAACTGCTACTACAACAACTGCTACTACAACAACTGCTACTACAACAACTACTACAACAACTACTACAACAACTGCTACTACAACAACTACTACAACAACTACTACAACAATTACTACAACAACTGCTACTACAACAACTACTACAACAATGCTACTACAACAACTACTACAACAACTGCTACTACAACAACTACTACAACAACTACTACAACAACTGCTAATACGACAAACTACTACAACAAAATGCTACTGCAACAAAATACTACAACAACTGGTACTACAAAAAACTGCTACTACAACAACTGTACTACAAGAACTACTACAACAACTGCTACTACAACAACTCTTTCAACAACTACTACAACAACTGCTACTACAACAACTACTACAACAACTGCTACTACAACAACTACTACAACAACTGCTAACAACAACTGCTACTACAACAACTGCTACTACAGCACAACTATTACAACAAAATTCTACAACAACTTTCTACTACAACAACTGCTACTACAACAACTACTACAACAACAACTGCTACTACAAACAACTGCTACTACAACAACTACTACAACTGCTACTACAAAAAACTACTACAACAACTGCTACTACAACTGCTACAAAACTGCTACAACAACTGCTACTACAACAACTCTACTACAACAACTACTACAACAACTGCTATACAACAACTGCTACTACAACAACTACTACAACAATGCTACTACAACAACTGTACTACAACAACTACTACAACAACTGCTACTACAACAACTGCTACTACAACAACTGCTACCACAACAACTACTACAACAACTGCTACAACAACTGCTACTACAACAACTACTAAACAACTGCTACTACACAACGACGAGAGACAAGCTCTACAACAAACTGCTAAACTACTACAACAAACTACTACAACAACTGCTACTACCAATAACTACTACTACAACTGCTACAACAACTCTACAACAACTGCTACTACAACATACTATTACAACAACTGACTACCAACAATTGCTACTACAACAACTGCTCTACAAACAAACTGGTACTACTAACAAAATGCTACTAACAATTGCTACTACAAACTGCTACTACAACAACTGCTACAACAATTTCTACTACACAACTGCTATAATAACAACTACTACAACAACTACGACAACAACTACTACAACAACTTACTACAACAACTGCTCTACAAAACTGCTACTACAACCAACTACTAAAACAACTCCCACAACAACTTCTTTTTTACAACAACTACTACAAAAATGTTACTACAAAAACTGCTATACAACAACTACTACAACAACTGCTACTACAACATTGCTACTACAACAACTGCTACTACAACAACTAATACAACAACCTACAAAAACTGCTAATACAACAACTACTACAACACTGCTACTACAACAACTGTACTACAACAACTGCTACTACAACGAATACTACAACAACTGCTACTACAACAACTACTACAACAACTGCTACTACAACAACTGCTACTACAACAATGCTACTACAACAACTACTACAATAACTGTACTACAACAACTACTACAACAACTACTACAAACAACCCGCTACTACAACAACTACTACAACAACTGCTACTACAACAAACTACTTACAACAACTGCTACTACAAAAATACTGCTACTGCAACAACTACTACAACAACTACTACAAAAACTGCTACTACAACAACTACTACAACAATGATACTACAACAACTGCTACAACAACTGCTACTACAACAAACTGCTACTACCATACACTGCTACTTTCAACAACTACTACAACACTGCTACTACAACAACTACTACAACAAACTACTACAACAACTGTACTACAACAACTATACAAAACTGCTACTACAACAACTATACAACAAACTGCTACTACAACAACTACTACAACAACTGTACTACAAACAACTGCTTTCAACAACTGCTACAACAACTGCTACTACAACAACTGTATACAACTACTACTACACAACTGCTACTACAACAACTACTACAAACAATACTACAACAACTGCTACTACAACAACTACTCAACAACTGCTACTACAACAACTGCTACTACAACAACAGCTACTACAACAACTGCTACTACAACAACTACTACAACAATGCTACTACAACAATACTACAACAACTACTACAACAACGCTCTACAACAACTACTACAACAACTGCTACTACAACAAATACTAACAAAAACTACTACAACACCTGCAACACACAACTACTACAACAACTACTACAACAACTACTACAACAACTACTACAACAACTACTACAAAAAACTACTACAAAAACTGCTACACAACAATACTACAACAACTACTACAACAACTACTACAACAACTGCTACTACAACAAAATGCAGTACAAAAAACTGCTACTACAAACAACTACTACAACAAAATACTACAACAACTATTACAACAACTGCTTCAACAACTACTACAACAACTACTACAAACAACTACTACAACAATTACTACAACAAATACTACAACAACTGCTACTACAACAAACTACTACTACAACAACTACTACAACAACTACTACAACAACTACTACAACAAAATATTACAACAACTGCTTCAACAACTACTACAACAATACTACAACAACTACTACAACAACTGCTACTACAACAAACTACTACTACAACAACTACTACAACAACTACTACAACAACTACTACAACAACTACTACAAAAAAAATGCTTCAACAACTACTACAACAACTACTACAAAAAAACTACTACAACAACTATTACAACAACTGCTATACAACAAAATACTACAACAACTAACTACAACAACTACTACAACAACTATTTCAACAACGCTACTACAACAACTACTACAACAACTACTACAACAATTACTACAACAAATGCTACTACAACAACTACTACAACAACTACTACAAACAACTACTACAACAACTGCTACTACAACAAACTATTACAACAACTACTACAACAACAACTAAAACAACTACAAAACCAACAACTACAAAAACTACAACAACAGCTACTATTACAACAACTAATAAAATATACATTCAGACGTGCACCACCAACGTGCACTCTGGCGTGTATATCGACGTGCACCACCAACGTGCACTCTGGCGTGTATATCTACGTGCACCACCAACGTGCACTCTGGCGTGTATATCTACTTGCACCACCAACGTGCACTCTGGCGTGTATATCTACTTGCACTACCAACGTGCACTCTGGCGTGTATTTCAACGTTCACCACCAATGTGCAGTCGGGCGTGTATATCGACGTGCACCACCAACGTGCACTCTGGCGTGTATTTCGACATGCACCACCAATGTGCAGTCGGGCGTGTATATCGACGTGCACCATCAACGTGCACTCGGGCGTATATATCTACGTGCACCATCAACGTGCACTCTGGCGTGTATATCTACGTGCACCATCAACGTGCACTCAGGCGTGTATATCTACGTGCACCACCAACGTGCACTCTGGCGTGTATTTCGACGTGCACCACCAATGTGCACTCGGGCGTGTATATCGACGCGCACCATCAACGTGCACTCGGGCGTGTATATCGACGTGCACCACCAACGTGCACTCTGACATGCACCATCAAGGTGCGTAAGAACTAATACGTGCAGACTGGCGCAAATGTAGACAAACGTACACGCTGAGTAAATTGCTGTCGACTGTAAACACAGGAAGAGAGACTCACTTTTTTTGTTTTTACCTAACATTGCTCCGTAAAACACACACACACACACACACACACACACACACACACACACATACGACATACAAAATACTGCGTGGAATAGACAAGGTGGACAGAGACAAGATATTCCAGAGATGGGACACAGAAACAAGGGGTCACTCTTGGAAGTTGAAGACTCAGATGAGTCACAGGGATATTAGGAAGCAGTTCTTCAGTCATAGAGTGGTCAGGAAGTGGAACAGTCTGGCGAGCGGTGGAGGCAGGAACCATACATAGCTTTAAGACGAGGTATGATAAAGCTCATGGAGAAGGGAGAGAGAGGACCTAGTAGCTTTCAGTGAAGAGGCGGGGCCAAGAGCTGAGTCTCGACCCCTGCAACTACAATTAGGTGAGTACACACACACACTCAGGTCATGACCCTTCCTGCTCTCCAGTTTGGGAAAGTATTAAGAGAGGTCTTAGCTTCTCGAGAGGGGGGGGTAGACGCCCCATCGGGGGTTGGAGAAAAATTTTCCCCAGGCTGCAACCCTGGTCTGACAAATGGCTCCTGAAGTTTAACCCCAGCAAGTGCAAATTCATGAAGTTAGGGGAAGGACAAAGAAGACCGCAGACGGAGTACAGCCTAGGAGGTCAAAGTCTGCAAAACTCACTCAAGGAAAAGGATCTTCGGGTTAGCATCATACCGGGCACATCAGCTAAATAACAGCTACAGCACGTGGGCGCCTGGCAAACCTAAGAACAGTATTTCCACACCTGAGTAAGGAGTCATGAAGACACTGTACATTGTGTGCGTCAGGCCCATGTTGGAGTATGCAGCACCAGTATGGAGCCCACACTTGGTCAAACACGTCAAGAAATTAGAGAAGACTAGCCCAGGAGCTAAGTGGTATGCCCTACGAGGAAAAGTTAAGTATAATAAATCTGACGACATTGGAGGACAGTAGAGATAGAGGAAACATAATAACGACATATAAAATACTGAGAGTGTGACAGGGTGAATAGGGACAGAATGTCCCAGAGATGTGGCACAGCAACAAGGGGTCACAACTGGAAGTTGAAAACTCATATGAGTCACAGGAATGTTAGGAAGTATTTCTTCAGTCACAGAGTTGTCAGGAAGAGTGCTGTAGAGGAGGCAGGATCCATACATAGTTTTATCATTTTTCGATGAAGGCTCATGGAGCAGGGAAAGAGTGGACCTAGTAGCGACCAGCGAAGAGGCGGAGCCAGGAGCTATGACTCGACCCCTGCAACCACAACTGGGTGAGTACAGCACACACACACATTGGCCAGCAACTATGAATCGACCCCTGCAACCACTACTAGGTGAGTGCAACTAGGTGAGTATACACACACACAGAGGGGCCAGGAGCTATGAATCGACCCTTGCAACCACAACTAAGTGAGTGCTACTAGGTGAGTACACACACACACACACACACACACACACACACACACACACAGGGGCCAGGAGCTCCAAATCGACCCCTACAACCACAACTAGGCGAGTACACAGGAAATACCACCACCCTTGACTTTACACAAGTATCAGTGTTGAAGATATCTACTCGAAAAATATATAAACGTTTTTGTACACAAGAGAGAAAGTTGAATTTAAATACAAGCCAGAAGGTGACAAGGACAAGAGCTGCAGTGTGACTGGACGTCACCAGGAAGATACACGGATACATGTTTCACGTACGACCTGACACAGGCAACAGTAAGAATAACAATAAGATTATTTTAATATGATACATACGCAATACATGATACATGATACATGGTTGTACAGAGGACTATAATAGACGGGGGTACATGCCATAAGCCCCTTTGTATGCAGAACATTTCGGGCAAACTTAAAAATTAACTTAATATTAGGAAGACAATAATAGTTCATATGGTCATTAGATACGTTATAGCGAGTACGAGAGAACTGAATATTCTTAGATAATGTTACATGGCATTGATAAATCTAGTAGAGAATAATTACAATATTGGATTACTTTATAAAGATTAAAGTAATGCAATAGAACAACTTAAAACAATTTACAATATGATTTATTACAGTTTAGTACTATTTAAAACAATTAATACAAGTATATATATAATATATTATATATATATATATATATATATATATATATATATATATATATATATATATATATATTATATATATATATATATGGATACCTGTGTTAGGTTAGGTAAAGTTTATCAGGAAACAGGACAAGTGTTTCCTGACGGTGGTCTTCGTCACATGATGACCCGCAGCTGGAGCTTTTGGTCATCTGATCGAGGCCTTCCACTGGCTTATCTGTGGATGTACGATTAGACGCAGGTCAACAGTATGCGTGTTGATAGGAAGAATACCTGGATATATTGGATACTTTGTGGGTCGTGGATGGTAAGATTATCCAGAGGAGAGGGCTAGCTTCTTGGTAAGTATGTAAGAACAGTGAGTGTGTGAGAGGAACAGTGAGTGTGTGAGAGGAACAGTGAGTGTGTGAGAGGAACAGTGAGTGTGTGAGAGGAACAGTGAGTGTGTGAGAGGAACAGTGAGTGTGTGAGAAGAACAGTGAGTGTGTGAGAGGAACAGTGAGTGTGTGAGAGGAACAGTAAGTGTGTGAGAGGAACAGTGAGTGTGTGAGAGGAACAGTGAGCTTGTGAGAGGAACAGTGAGTGTGTGAGAGGAACAGTGAGTGTGTGAGAGGAACAGTGAGTGTGTGAGAGGAACAGTGAGTGTGTGAGAGGAACAGTGAGTGTGTGAGAGGAACAGTGAGTGTGTGAGAGGAACAGTGTGTGTGTGAGAGGAACAGTGAGTGTGTGAGAGGAACAGTGAGTGTGTGAGAGGAACAGTGAGTGTGTGAGAGGAACAGTGTGTGTGTGAGAGGAACAGTGTGTGTGTGAGATGAACAGTGAGTGTGTGAGAGGAACAGTGAGTGTGTGAGAGGAACAGTGAGTGTGTGAGAGGAACAGTGAGTGTGTGAGAGGAACAGTGTGTGTGTGAGAGGAGCAGTGAGTGTGTGAGAGGAACAGTGAGTGTGTGAGAGGAACAGTGAGTGTGTGAGAGGAACAGTGAGTGTGTGAGAGGAACAGTGTGTGTGTGAGAGGAACAGTGAGTGTGTGAGAGGAACAGTGTGTGTGTGAGAGGAACAGTGAGTGTGTGAGAGGAACAGTGTGTGTGTGAGAGGAACAGTGAGTGTGTGAGAGGAACAGTGAGTGTGTGAGAGGAACAGTGAGTGTGTGAGAGGAACAGTGTGTGTGTGAGAGGAACAGTGAGTGTGTGAGAGGAACAGTGAGTGTGTGAGAGGAACAGTGAGTGTGTGAGAGGAACAGTGAGTGTGTGAGAGGAACAGTGTGTGTGTGAGAGGAACAGTGAGTGTGTGAGAGGAACAGTGTGTGTGTGAGAGGAACAGTGAGTGTGTGAGAGGAACAGTGAGTGTGTGAGAGGAACAGTGAGTGTGTGAGAGGAACAGTGTGTGTGTGAGAGGAACAGTGAGTGTGTGAGATGAACAGTGAGTGTGTGAGAGGAACAGTGAGTGTGTGAGAGGAACAGTGAGTGTGTGAGAGGAACAGTGAGTGTGTGAGAGGAACAGTGTGTGTGTGAGAGGAACAGTGTGTGTGTGAGAGGAACAGTGAGTGTGTGAGAGGAACAGTGAGTGTGTGAGAGGAACAGTGTGTGTGTGAGAGGAACAGTGTGTGTGTGAGAGGAACAGTGTGTGTGTGAGAGGAACAGTGTGTGTGTGAGAGGAACAGTGTGTGTGTGAGAGGAACAGTGTGTGTGTGAGATGAACAGTGAGTGTGTGAGAGGAACAGTGAGTGTGTGAGAGGAACAGTGTGTGTGTGAGAGGAACAGTGTGTGTGTGAGAGGAACAGTGAGTGTGTGAGAGGAACAGTGTGTGTGTGAGAGGAACAGTGTGTGTGTGAGAGGAACAGTGAGTGTGTGAGAGGAACAGTTAGTGTGTGAGAGGAACAGTGAGTGTGTGAGAGGAACAGTGTGTGTGTGAGAGGAACAGTGAGTGTGTGAGAGGAACAGTGAGTGTGTGAGAGGAACAGTGAGTGTGTGAGAGGAACAGTGAGTGTGTGAGAGGAACAGTGAGTGCATGAGAGGAACAGTGAGTGTGTGAGAGGAACAGTGAGTGTGTGAGAGGAACAGTGAGTGTGTGAGAGGAACAGTGAGTGTGTGAGAGGAACAGTGAGTGTGTGAGAGGAACAGTGAGTGTGTGAGAGGAACAGTGAGTGTGTGAGAGGAACAGTGAGTGTGTGAGAGGAACAGTGAGTTTGAGAGGAACGGTGAGTGTGAGAGGAACAGTGTGTGTGAGAGGAACAGTGTGTGTGAGAGGAACAGTGTGTGTGAGAGGAACAGTGTGTGTGAGAGGAACAGTGAGTGTGAGAGGAACGGTGAGTGTGTGAGAGGAAAAGTGAGTGTGTGGGAGGAACAGTTAGTGTGTGAGAGGAACAGTGAGTGTGTGAGAGGAACAGTGAGTGTGTGAGAGGAACAGTGAGTATGTGAGAGGAACAGTTAGTGTGTGAGAGGAACAGTGTGTGTGTGAGAGGAACAGTGAGTGTGTGAGAGGAACAGTGAGTGTGTGAGAGGAACAGTGTGTGTTAGAGGAACAGTGAGTGTGTGAGAGGAACAGTGAGTGTGTGAGAGAAACAGTGAGTGTGTGAGAGGAACAGTGAGTGTGTGAGAGGAACAGTTAGTGTGTGAGAGGAACAGTGAGTGTGTGAGAGGAACAGTGTGTGTGTGAGAGGAACAGTTAGTGTGTGAGAGGAACAGTGAGTGTGTGAGAGGAACGGTGAGTGTGTGTGAGAGGAACGGTGAGTGTGTGAGAGGAACAGTGAGTGTATGAGAGGAACGGTGAGTGTGTGAGAGGAACAGTGAGTGTGTGAGAGGAGCAGTGAGTATGTGAGAGGAACAGTGAGTGTGTGAGAGGAACGGTGAGTGTGTGAGAGGAACGGTGAGTGTGTGAGAGGTTTGAGAGAGACAGTGAGTGTGCGATAGGGCAACAGTGTGTGAGAGGTGTGAGGGTGAGTGTGAAAGTGAGTGCTGGACTCCTGAAATACCTCAGGAACGATGTTTTGGTCCGAACGGAACTGACAAGTTACAGTGAAGCGAGAAGGACAGATAACCAGAACATATGAGAGAGAGAGAGAGAGAGGAGAGAGAGAGAGAAGAAGAAGGGAGTTTTAACTTGACAATGGTCAGTGGTCCCCTGTAAGGTGTACGTTATTTCTGGATTGTGGCAGCTACAGTCATGTGATTGTGGCAGCCACATTCATGTGAATTTTTTCCTTCACGATCTGTAGAACGAAAGTTTATTGAGTCGCTTTCTAACTGATTTGTTTCTGAGGTGTGGAGATTTCGATCCTCCGTCGGCCGATCGCAAGACAGAAACAGCCTGGCTTCCCTCAGGTAGCCAGGTCAATGTAGGTCAGGTCAAGTCTTGCAATGGTCACGCCTTGCACATTCCAGTTGAAGACGCCATGTGACTTGATGCAATAATTCCTGTTGTAAGCATTTCCTAAGAGTGGTTTTATTATTGTGTGTCTCGTGCTGTTGTCAGATTATCCAGTAGACTCTCTTGTTTATATGGCAGAGATCTCGTGTTTTCACTCCAGTCAGAATTAAAAATTATGTATTCTTTTGTTTTTCTTCGGTATTGTTTTGTTTCGTAATGGGATACTTTCCGTGTTTACCCTTCCTTTTCATAATGTAAGTAGCCTTAAGGGGCACTTCTGTTTCCCTTGTTTTCTAATAATGTTATTTTTTTCTCTTTTAATCTACCTTGTATATAATTACTGTCGTATTTACTTAGTCTCCTTTCGTAATGTGAAGTCTAGGATCTTTTTTTTAATTCATGGTATAACTTAACAGATCTTTGATGACAGTTGTATTGCAGAGGTCTGAGCAGAGCTAAGCTCTCTGGAACATATTGTGCACATTTCCTGGCGTGTGTTGTCCACACTGAAACACACTTAGTATGTTGCATATTCTTCTGTCATATTGTCCATATATTGTTTACATATGATATTGTTTACTGTGACAGTCTCGCCTTTTTTCCAGTGTGATCCACTGTTTGCCTGAGTGATCCATTTTCAGTTGTGTTGAGTCATATTACTAATGGTATGCAACACAGACAACTTGATGAGTAAGACATATGTGCAACACATGGGTATTTTTATTGCCGAAATGCTTCGCCTGCGTAGCAGGCTTCCTCAGTCGAATAAAAAAAATTGATTACTGGAAACAACTGAAAAAGTGGATAGGTAATTATGAGATATTGAGCGCCTTAGTCTGGAGTGAAGGTGTCCAGTTATTTTTGCTCTTGTAATAATGTTGTCAAGCCGTAACGGCTTGACAAAGCTCCTATAGAGCGAAACGTTGCCACAGCAAAATGTCGCATTAGTTGCACTTGTGTCCTCTTACCTGACATTTTTGCCTTTGTTTCTGTGTCCGTCTACCATTCTACTATCTTCGCAAATCTTTATTTACTTGCTTGTACAATTAGCGTCTTCACTCTGCGTGTACTGATGCTGTGATCTCTGACGGAGATTTACTTCCGTGCGGAGGATGATTTTCCAATATACGAAGTATGCACAAAATTTACATAGGTCTCGTTAATTTCTTTGATTCGGCCACTGACAACTTATGTCTTGAATTCCGAAGTTGAAAACTAAAAATCTATTTCAAAAAATACGCTTTATGGAGCTTCTCTTTTTAATTCCAACTTTTTAAAGCTGAAAAATTTCTATAAATCCCCCGGAGAACAGAAGTAGGCCTACTGGCATAGACTTTTATTGGGACAGAGGTTCGCTCTGTGTGTGTGTGGCGAAATGATACTACAGATCAAAAAAAAAAATGAAAATCACGTTCACGGTGAACGTGATAGTAGTGTAAGTAGACACCACTGCCTATGACACCATGGTGCCAGCGGCTCCACAGACCAGTGCCAGGTTATTCTTCCCCCTCACCAACATTCATCAGAGTGCCTCATTAAAGTTCATTAAAGTGCCTCACTAACGTTCATCGAAGTGTCTCACCAACGTTCATCAAAGTGCCTCACTAACGTTCATCAAAGTGCCTCACCAACGTTCATCAGAGTACCTCACCAACATTCATCAGAGTGCCTCATTAAAGTTCATTAAAGTGCCTCACTAACGTTCATCGAAGTGTCTCACCAACGTTCATCAAAATGCCTCACCAACGTTCATCAGAGTGCCTCACCAACGTTCATCAAGGTGCCTCACTAACGTTCATCAAAGTGCCTCACCAACGTTCATCAAAGTGCCTCATCAACGTACTTACGTCACATCACGTGATGTTAACATTAAGCTTAGTCACTAATAACACACACGACCTTACTTGTCTGACAGTATTCTTGTCTCACAGGCAAAAACTCGACTCCGGAACCAACTTCCTTCTTCTCGAGACCAGGATATACAGTTCAACGGAAGTCGTCCTCCAGAGACATTAGGAGTCGTTCTCGAGGGTTATAAGAAGTCCTTCTCGGGAGGGCAGACAAGTCGCCCTCGGAACCAACGAGGTACAGTCGTCCTCGGGAGCTGTAGGGAATCGAGGACGAAACTTAGGTCGTCCTTGTCGTCATGGCGAAGGTCGTTCTCGTCGTCGTCGTTCTCAGCGCTGTCCTGCCATCTGTTTTTGACTTTGAGATTTCAAGTGATAATGTGAGTATTTTTTCAATTACTTATTTCTTGTGTGTATGTGTCTGCGAGCCTTTTGTTATGTTATAATTCTTGTTAACAATTCATGTCTCTCTCTTTCTCTCTCTCTCTCTCTCTCTCTCTCTCTCTCTCTCTCTCTCTCTCTCTCTCCTCTCTCTCTTCTCTCTCTCTCTCTCTCTCCTCTCTCTCTCTCTCTCTCTCTCTCTCTCTCTCTCTCTCTCTCTCTCTCTCAGTTTATCTATCTATCTATCTGTCTATCTATCTATCTATCTATCTGATTCTTTCAATATTTCATTACACAATCTATATTCTTAACGTGGCATAATTTCGCTGACTCCTACGACCATTACGTTGCATTAACCTACACAAAATTCCATCATCCTTTTAGGACTCCAGTTGAGCATTGAATACAGATTCTCTTGTAAAGATTTACAGTCATTCTCTTTCTCAATTCCGCATAAGATTTTTTTTTTTTGCATTATTTCTAAGCCTGTTCTATGATTTTTTTTATTCCTACTGGTAAATCTTTTTATATAAATTAGAAACATTACCGGGGTATGTACAGACCCTTGTGGCACCCCACTTGTGACATCCTCCCATGCAGACATTTTTTTCCTCTCATGACTGTTCGCATTTTCATCTCAGATAGTTTCCAAATTAGTCTTCCATTAGGAACTTTATTAAAAGGTTTCTTAAAGTCTTGGTAAATACAATCTGCCCATCCATTTCTTTTCTGAACAATTTTAGCAATTCTCTCACAGTAACTTAAAAAAAATTATATACATTAATGTACAGACCGAAAATCAAATTGTGTTCCAATCAGTATGTTCTCATTCCTTATGTGCTGAATCCATTTTAATCATTTTTCCCAATAATTTTGCAACAATCTCGTCAATAACACTGGCTTATAGTTTAATGGGCTTTCACTGTCATGCTTTTTTTTTAAATACAGGCATAATATATGCCATCCTCCACGTGTTTACCTTTCTGTGTGAGATCTTAAACATTTTAAAAAGTGGATAGTGAGTCTCCATGTTGTGGAGGCGAGCCCAGGCAACAAGAGTGAGTCTCCATGTTGTGGAGGCGAGCCCAGGCAACAAGAGTGAGTCTCCATGTTGTGGAGGCGAGCCCAGGCAACAAGAGTGAGTCTCCATGTTGTGGAGGCGAGCCCAGGCAACAAGAGTGAGTCTCCATGTTGTGGAGGCGAGCCCAGGCAACAACAGTGAGTCTCCATGTTGTGGAGGCGAGCCCAGGCAACAACAGTGAGTCTCCATGTTGTGGAGGCGAGCCCAGGCAACAAGAGTGAGTCTCCATGTTGTGGAGGCGAGCCCAGGCAACAACAGTGAGTCTCCATGTTGTGGAGGCGAGCCCAGGCAACAACAGTGAGTCTCCATGTTGTGGAGGCGAGCCCAGGCAACAAGAGTGAGTCTCCATGTTGTGGAGGCGAGCCCAGGCAACAACAGTGAGTCTCCAGTTGTGGAGGCGACCCAGCAAAACAGTAGTCTCATGTTGGAGGCGAGCCAGGCAACAAGAGTGAGTCTCCATGTTGTGGAGGCGAGCCAAGGCAACAACAGTGAGTCTCCATGTTGTGGAGGCGACCAAGCAACAACAGTGGTCCCAGTGTGGAGGCGACCCCAGGCAACTCGTTCAGTGCCCAGTATACTGTATCATCCTTACAGCTAACATAAAAACACAGTGGTGCCTGTGCTAACCTTCCTATGGTGTAGAAATATACCTAGTTGGATGAATCTTATTGTGGCTAGCTGGTCTAGTGGCTAACGCGACGGGCTGGAGTTTTGAGACTCTATGACCGCGGGTTCAATCCCGGCCGGGAGTATGGTTTGATAAAAACACTAAACACGGAGGATGACGGAAAACATGCACAGTTTTTTAAGAGGATTTTAAGGACAAGTAGTTAATAAACTGCCTGAATTAAGAGGACTGCTCATTCAGTCCAATTCAGAGAATGCATGGAAAGGCAGAACATGAGAAGTTTGAGGCAATCAGTCCTTCAGCCTGGAGTCTATGTGTTCAGTTCATCAGTGTTGAAAAAAAATCAGCATATGGTGGGTTGTATACATTTATCACTAACAGTTTTCCACTCCATATATATTTTGTACTCTTATACTTAATATTTCAACATTTTAATTATTTCGGATTACAGTTTTCGTAACTTGAAAAGATTGGTTTACCAATATTTCCAGTCCTCCTCTTATCCTCCCTTCCCTTCTTCCATGATTTTCCAGTTGGGTTTCAGTTAGACCAACTATATCAGGTTTCTTTTCACTAATGATATCACTAAGTTCCAATCTTGCTGAGTTTACTTCGTCAATACTAGTGAAAAATAAGTCTTCAAAACGGTGTTATTCTCACTGTTGCCCTTTTTTTCCATGGGTTTTAGAGTGGTTTTTTTATCGAGCCTGTGGTCGTGTTCTTTGAAAAAAAAAATATTTGATAGGTTGGTAAAACAATCGTGAACTGTAAAAAAAAAAATTATTTTCTTGCTCATTTATATCCTGACTCAACCCTTTAGCAATGATTAGAAAACAAAGTTATTTTCAGACTATTTTCCTTGGAAAGATTTAATCTAATTTGCTTATCCTTATAATGTTCATTTTTTTTTTAGCATTTCTACCCCCTCAAGGAAGGTTCCTTGATGTTGGTGAGGGGCTCTTGATTTAGGGAATTGGATCTGTGCTCCAGTTCTCCGAATTAAGCCAGAATGCCTTCCACATCCCCCCCCCAGGCGCTGTATAATCCTCCGGGTTTAGCGCTTCCCCTTGATTATAATAATAATAATTTAGCATTTGTACGTAGTTCTTTTCCTGTGTCAGTGTTATTATCAGCGACCTGCGCTTGACTTCCGTATTTTATAATACAAATATAGGCTGCAATATATTAGCCAGTTGAAGTCCACAATGTACTTCGTCATCTCGTGTGTGTGTGTGTGTGTGTATGTGTACTCACCTAGTTGTGATTGCAGGGGTCGATTCACAGCTCCTGGCCCCTTGTGTGTGTGTGTGTGTGTGGGTGTGTGTGTGTGTGGTGTGTGTTGTGTGTGTGTGTGTGTGTACACGCGTGCAACCTGTGTACATACATTCAAGCGGAGGAACAGACTATGACACGTTGGTCGCACTCCTCCTCCACCCTCCTGGTGGACCAGGAAGATGTTCCTGCAGATAGATGCTCTTGTTCAACTTCGAGTGACGCTTCAGCGTCTCCCTGACTTTTAAACTCCCCTCTTTTTTATTTAATATTCAAATTCCTTAATATCATCATCGACAGCGTCAACACAAAGTTTGTGAAGCCATTATTATTATTGTTGTATTGATGCTATTATTATTATTATTATTATTATTATTATTATTATTATTATTATTATTATTATTATTATTATTATTTTTATTTTTATTATTATTATTATTATTAATTATTATTATTATTATTATTATTATTATTATTATATTATTATTATTATTCATTAAATAATTTTTATTATATATGTATTACATGTGATTATGTTATAATTTATTATTCATAATTATTGATTTATATTATTTCTTATTATTAATTATCATTCTTAGTATATTTAATTCATTCCATTATTATTAGATTATTACTTAGTTTATTATAATTCACTGGAAAACTTCCTTTAAAAGTCATGTAGCACCTGGGTGGGAATGGTAGGTAATCTGCTTTGATCCGAGGAAAGGAAGGTTTAACTCCAGTTCCTTGGATCAATAACTCCAGTTCCTTGGATCATTAACCCTTCCCCATACCTTGACGGAACTGGCAAGAGACTAGGCTTGACTTTGACCTTTGAGAGGGTCAGGGAGTGGCCTGACCTTGTGACTGATAGATCTGACCTCAGCCTGGCCTGTGACTGATAGATCTAACTTCAGCCTGACCTGGTGACTGATAGATCTGACTTCAGCCTGACCTGGTGACTGATAGGTCCAACCTCAGCCTGACCTGGTGACTGATAAATCTAACCTCAGCCTGACCTGGTGACTGATAGATCTGACTTCAGCCTGACCTGGTGACTGATAGGTCTAACCTCAGCCTGACCTGGTGACTGATAGATCTGACTTCAGCCTGACCTGGTGACTCATAAATCTGACCTCAGCCTGACCTGGTGACTGAGAGATTTGACTTCAACCTGATCTGGTGACTGACAGATTTGACTTCAACTTGACCTGATGACTAATAGATCTGACTTTAGCCTAACCTGGAGACTGATAGATCTGACCTCAGCCTGACCTGGTGACTGAGAGATTTGACTTCACCCTGACCTGGTGACTGATAGATCTGACCTCAACCTGACCTGGTGACTGATAGATCTGACCTGATGACTTATCTGACTTCAGCCTAACATGGTGACGGCAGACCTATCTTAACACCTGAACTTCTAAGGTCAAGATCTGACCTCAACACTGACCTCTGGAGGTCACACCTGACTTAAACTGACCAGTGAAGTCAGACTGACTTAACATCTGACCTTTCAGACTGAAACTGCCTGTGGGGGTCAGACCTGACTAACACTGACCTTGTGTGGGGTCATACCTGACTTAACACCGACCTTCTGAAAGTCAGATCTAACTTAACACTCACCATCTGAAAGTCAGATCTGACAACACTGACCTTCTGAAAGTCAGACCTGACTTAACACTGACCTTGTGGAGGTCAGACCTGACAACACTGACCTTTGAAAGTCAGACCTGACTTAACACTCACCTTCTGAAAGTCAAACCTTGCTCGTCCAGAGACAGCAAAGAAATGCAATAGGTTTTAATCAATGATTCTCAGAAAGTTACAGTGCAAGTTTGAAGAGAGAGAGAGAGAGAGAGAGAGAGAGAGAGAGAGAGAGAGAGACGGATGTGCCAAAGTATGGGTATCGTTGAACAAGCGACCGATACCAGCTGATACCGTTTTTGTAATATTAATATTATATTTTGTGCTTAAAAATCTCAACATCAACATTCTGCGTAACGATTGTGAAATTTCCTCTTACACAACCCCCCCCCCCACACACACACACTCACACACATATTTATATATATCCACAGCCGACAATTTATATATATATATATATTTATTTATTTATAGTAGCGTTACTAAGACAAGGTTGACTCAACAGGGAGGTCGCAGGAGGCGCCAGTCACCAGTACCAACACTGAACCCACCCATACTACCATCGATGCACACTATCTAGGTAAGTCACTCTCCCAGAGCCTTCTGCAACGTACGTCCTTTCTCCACAACCTGGTCACCAGACTATCTTATTTCCCTGTCTGCAGACACTTATCTTGTAAACGCTACTACTGCACTGTTGATCCACGTCGCAATCTGTGTGTGCTCGTTAAGTTATATTTGTATTATGAGTTGGGAGTGTAAGATCAATGTGTTTGCTATCACGACATGGGTCGAGGGCCGCACCATCCTTGCTCCTGAAGTGAGTGGGTAATCCGAATCAAGTAGCTTAGTTCATAGGACACGATCCTTAATCAACGTCAGGCTTTGCCACTTATCCTCCTGCTTGATCCTGATTGGTACAGATTTAAATTTTCTTCAGTCCCCAGTGCACTCTCAGTCAGGTACGCCATCATGCACTGCCATCGATCACTCCGTTCAGTCATCTCAGTCGTTACTCGTAAGTTCAGTCAGTCCATGTCAGTCACTCCAGTCAGTCAATCTTCAGTCAGTCACTTCCATCAGCGACTCCAGTCAGTCCCCCAGTCAGCTCTACTCGGGATGTTATCCCGTCAGCACTGCCATTCAGTCACTCGATCAGGAGTCCTAGTCAACTCACACGGTTCACTCCATCCTCACTCATATGTACAGTTACAATTTTCAGTCAGTCCCCAGTCACTCTCATCGTCACTCCCAGTCAGTCATCATCTCTGCAGTAAGATATTGTGCACGGTATTGTGACTTTATTGTTCATATAACTGCAGACTTGTCGTTATCCATTGAACAGTCAGTCCTCAGTCGGAACTACAAGTCAGGAATGTAGTCACAGAAGTCAAGAATCCATCATCACCAGTCACTTCGCTGGTCACTCCAGCAGGCCCGTCACTCTCACTGGGTATACCCAGTCACCTCTCAGTAACTCTACCTGCTGTCACCTCCAGCAGCGCCTCTCACAGGTGTTGTAAGTGTCACCCATCGTCACCTCCAGCAGTCCCAGCCTCTCACCAGGTGTTGAAGTGTCCCTGCTGTCACCTCCAGCAGTGCCTCCACATGTTAGTAGTGTCTGCTGTCACCTCCAGCAGCGCCTCTCACCAGGTGTCTGAGCCAGTGTCTAGCTGTCACCTCCAGCAGCGCCTCTCACAGTGTTGTAGAGTGTCTGCTGTCACCTCCCAGCAGTGCCTCTCACGGTGTTGTGTAGTGTGTCTGCTGTCACCTCCAAAGCTGCCTCTCACAGTGTGATATGTAAGGTCTGCTGTCACCTACCAGCAGGGCCTCTCACAGGTGTTTGTAAAGTGTCTGCTGTCACTCCAGCAGGCCTCTCACAGGTGTTGTAGAGCTACCTGCTGTCACCTCCAGCAGCGCCTCTCACAGGTGTTGTAGAGTGTCTGCTGTCACCTCCAGCAGTGCCTCTCACAGGTGTTGTAGAGTGTCTGCTGTCACCTCCAGCAGCGCCTCTCACAGGTGTTGTAGAGTGTCTGCTGTCACCTCCAGCAGCGCCTCTCACAGGTGTTGTAGAGTGTCTGCTGTCACCTCCAGCAGTGCCTCTCACAGGTATTGTAGAGTGTCTGCTGTCACCTCCAGCAGTGCCTCTCACAGGTGTTGTAGAGTGTCTGCTGTCACCTCCAGCAGTGCCTCTCACAGGTGTTGTAGAGTGTCTGCTGTCACCTCCAGCAGCTCCTCTCACAGGTGTTGTAGAGTGTCTGCTGTCACCTCCAGCAGCGCCTCTCACATGTGTTGTAGAGTGTCTGCTGTCACCTCCAGCAGCGCCTCTCACAAGTGTTGTAGAGTGTCTGCTGTCACCTCCAGCAGCGCCTCTCACAGGTGTTGTAGAGTGTCTCCTGTCACCTCCAGCAGCGCCTCTCACAGGTGTTGTAGAGTGTCTCCTGTCACCTCCAGCAGCGCCTCTCACAGGTGTTGTAGAGTGTCTCCTGTCACCTCCAGCAGCGCCTCTCACAGGTGTTGTAGAGTGTCTCCTGTCACCTCCAGCAGCGCCTCTCACAGGTGTTGTAGAGTGTCTCCTGTCACCTCCAGCAGCGCCTCTCACAGGTGTTGTAGAGTGTCTGATGTCACCTCCAGCAGCGCCTCTCACAGGTGTTGTAGAGTTTCTGCTGTCACCTCCAGCAGCGCCTCTCACAGGTGTTGTAGAGTGTCTGCTGTCACCTCCAGCAGTGCCTCTCACAGGTGTTGTAGAGTGTCTGCTGTCACCTCCAGCAGCGCCTCTCACAGGTGTTGTAGAGTTTCTGCTGTCACCTCTAGCAGCGCCTCTCACAGTTGTTGTAGAGTGTCTGCTGTCACCTCCAGCAGCGCCTCTCACAGGTGTTGTAGAGTTCTGCTGTCACCTCCAGCAGCGCCTCTCACAGGTGTTGTAGAGTTTCTGCTGTCACCTCCAGCAGCGCCTCTCACAGGTGTTGTAGAGTTTCTGCTGTCACCTCCAGCAGCGCCTCTCACAGGTGTTGTAGAGTTTCTGCTGTCACCTCCAGCAGCGCCTCTCACAGGTGTTGTAGAGTGTCTGCTGTCACCTCCAGCAGCTGCCTCTCACAGGTGTTGTAGAGTTTCTGCTGTCACCTCCAGCAGCGCCTCTCACAGGTGTTGTAGAGTGTCTGCTGTCACCTCTAGCAGTGCCTCTCACAGGTGTTGTAGAGTGTCTGCTGTCACCTCCAGCAGTGCCTCTCATAGGTGTTGTAGAGTGTCTGCTGTCACCTCCAGCAGCGTCTCTCACAGGTGTTGTAGAGTGTCTGCTGTCACCTCCAGCAGTGCCTCTCACAGGTGTTGTAGAGTGTCTGCTGTCACCTCCAGCAGTGCCTCTCACAGGTGTTGTAGAGTGTCTGCTGTCACCTCCAGCAGTGCCTCTCACAGGTGTTGTAGAGTGTCTGCTGTCACCTCCAGCATGCCTCTCACAGGTGTTGTAGAGTGTCTGCTGTCACCTCCAGCAGTGCCTCTCACAGGTGTTGTAGAGTGTCTGCTGTCACCTCCAGCAGCGTCTCTCACAGGTGTTGTAGAGTGTCTGCTGTCACCTCCAGCAGTGCCTCTCACAGGTGTTGTAGAGTGTCTGCTGTCACCTCCAGCAGTGCCTCTCACAGGTGTTGTAGAGTGTCTGCTGTCACCTCCAGCAGTGCCTCTCACAGGTGTTGTAGAGTGTCTGCTGTCACCTCCAGCAGTGCCTCTCACAGGTGTTGTAGAGTGTCTGCTGTCACCTCCAGCAGTGCCTCTCACAGGTGTTGTAGAGTGTCTGCTGTCACCTCCAGCAGTGTAGCAGTCTCTTCTTGTTGCAGTGAGTGCAGAAATACACTTTGTATTGTTGCACTCAGTGCATTAGTACAAGGTATGGCACTCACCAATATTGACCTTTGCTCATCTCTTTTCATATTTTTTTAACGTGAAGCGCTAAACCTGTTCTGGTCATTCAGTGCGTCGAGTGAAGGCTCGATCCTCCGGCCATCAGCCTTGACACTTATGGAATTATTCAAACATTAATGGAAATTTTCCTTCGCTTTAACAACAAGGTGCTCACGTGGATTAGATTTATATTTCATCTGTGCGAAGGGCAAAACCCGTGTGGGTTATTTAGCACAAGGGGTGATGGATGCTCGAACCTCCGTCCGCTGAAAGCAGGAACTGAATTTTTTCATGCAGTGGGTAATACATAAATATTGATACAGCTTATTATGTAGGTCACACTCTATTCCTTTCTGAGGTAAGATCCCACTCACATCCCACTCTTCCCTGAGGCAATATCCCACTCCTTCCTGAGGTAAGACAACCTGTTTGCTCCTCTCTGAGATAATATCCCACTCCTCGCTGATGTAATATCCCACTCTTCCCTGATGTAAGATCTCACTGCTCCCGGAGGTAAGATCGCACTCCTCCCTGAGGTAAGATCCCACTCCTTCTTTCTACAGATCCACTCATCCTCCTGAGGTAAGATCCCACTCCTCCCTAAGATCCCCTCAAGGAAGGTTCCTTGATGTTGGTGAGGGGCTCTTGATTTAGGGAATTGGATCTGTGCTCCAGTTCCCCGAATTAAGCCTGAATGCCTTCCACATCCCCCCCCCAGGCGCTGTATAATCCTCCGGGTTTAGCGCTTCCCCTTTGATTATAATAATAATAATCCTCCCTAAGATAAGATCCCACTCTTCCCTGAGGTAAGATCCCACTCCTCCCTGAGGTAAGATCCCACTCCTCCCGGAGGTAAGATCCCACTCCTCCCTAAGGTAAGCTCCCACTCACTTCCCACTCCTCCCACAGGTACTGACCAACTGCTGGACGCGTGCAAGAGGAACGAGGTACAGATGGTCACAGGTGGATGTCACCAGCTGCTGACTCAGGGACCCTGCAAGCCCACGGAGTTTGTCTTGTTGGACCCAGAGTCAGGACGGGGACACTGCAGACCCAGGCTGTGCTCTCCTGACAGAATCTTTGTCTTCAGTGACCAGCTGTGTCATGATCCCAGAGGAACTACTCTCTGTCCCCGTATGTCATTATTATTATTATTATTATTATTATTATTATTATTATTATTATTATTATTATTATTATTATTACATTGATAAATATAATAAGGTGAGCCTTGAACAGTGATATAGTCGTATGTGAAGACAGAACAGTAATGTAAGCGAGAGACCACAAATATAATTTTGTTAATAGTACCGACAAGCAGGAGAGTAAAACACTCATGCAGCAGTTGACTGTCTTTATTATCAACCTTGGGGGGACTGACCACCTCAAAATTACTTCATCAGGAGTGAGGGACTGATCACCTTATATTTACCTCGCCACTGCATCTGTTGCCTTCAGTATTTATGTAACCTCTGAGTATGACTGAAGAAGTCTGCTGAGCAGGCCTTTCGACGATGAAGATAGCCAACTATTGCACCTGCACTTATCTATATGTGGCTCCAGGGGCCGAGTCACAGCTTCTGTGTCGTACACAGAGAGCACGAGTGTTACGGAAGGTGTCATCGTCAGAGTTGTGACTTCTCTAGTTTCAAAACTTATCATAATTCACTTTCATTGTCACGGTCTTGGTTACTTCTGCTCACTTAGGCTTCACAGGAGTCAAGCTTTCTGACATTGATATTCCTAGCTAATAATAATAATAATAATAATAATAATAATAATAATAATCTTTATTTCCACACTGATGTCACATCAGTGACATACTACATAGAAAGTCGCTTGTTATGCAGAGCATTTCGGGTAAATTAGGTTCATTTTGTCCCCAAGATGCGACCCACATCAGTCGACTAATACCCAGGTACCTACGTACTGCTAGGTGAACAGGGACAGCAAGAGTCTTAAGGAAACACGTCCTAATGTTACCACCCCTACCGGGGATCGAACCACGGACCTCAATGTCTGAGCTGGAGTCAAGTTTGGTAATGCCACAGCATTACCAAACTTGACTCCATTTATACATAAACCTTTTTTTTTACGTTCCTGGTGATTCCTCTATTGAAGGAATTTGCTACCGTTCAATTTCGTCACTAATTTACTCTGTTGACATTGCAATTGCACGCCAATCTCCTTCCCTCCCCACGTCTCCAACGCCCACGCTGACGACGCCAACGCTGACGACGCCAACGCTGACGACGCTATCTGGGGGGGAACCGTCATCCTACGTCAGCTGGTCGACAGATGTACTCCTCGGCGTTCGGTACCCCCGTATGTCAGTGTCCTGATGGTACGTACGAGGGAGACGATGACCTAGATGACGACGTGTGTGACCCCATCCTGGGCCAGACACTCTCCTGCCAGCCAGGACAGGTGAGCCAGGGCCTTCTAAGGGCTAGGTGAGGGGCTAGGTGAAGGATAGGTGAGGTGCTAAGTTGAGGGTATTACAACTGGTGATAACGACCAGCGGGTATTTATAACCATTAGATATGAACGACCCTCCAGCAGGTATTAATACCTTCAATAGATATGAATGACCCTCAAGCAGGTACTAAAAACCTTCAGTAGTTATGAACGACCTTCCAGCAGGTATTTATAGCTTTCAGTATATATGAACGACCCTCCAACAGGTATTTATATCCGTCAATAGGTGTGAACGACCTTCCAGTAGGTATTAATAACCTCTGGTAGATATGAAGGACCCTTCACCAGATTCTAACTACCCTCCAGCAGGTACTAACGATCCTCCAGCATGTATTGCCTAGCCTCCAGCAGGAAAAAGCACTCTTCGACAGGTACTAAAAACCCTACAGCAGGTAGTAACGACCTTTCAACAGTTACTGACGACCACTCCTCCCGCAGGTACTGTGGTTCAAAGACTTCGGCCTCCCGCCGGAGTGCCTGCCGGACCCCTGCGGCGGAGACAACCTGAACCGCGGACCTAACGACTTACCCTTTGTGCCTGCCGCCGACGGCAGGTGTTACCAGCTTGGACAGGTAAGCAACAGGCGCTACCAAGGTGGACAGGTAAACAACAGGTGCTACCAGCTAGAACCTGTTATGAACAGATGCCTCAGGAAGTGCATCTGAACCGTTGGTGTCTCCAGCAACGGTAAAAGAGTCATAGGCGCCTCCAACTCTCCAAGCTGTCTCTTCACCACATTTCTCAGCACCATTTGTCACTCAAGCCATATTCAATAGTTGTAAAGACGGCCGTTGACTGAAGGATGGCCAACGTATTTTCTTTTTCTTGGGGGTTCACACTTCTTCACATTTAAAAGCATAAATATATCAGTGGTTTAAACAGGTATTCCATTTTTAATAAATATAAGTGAAATTAGGCGTATATAAGTGAAACTAGCAGTATATAAATGAAACTCGCAGTATATAATTAAAACTAGCAGTATATAAGTGAAACTAACAGTATATAAGTGAAACTAGCAATATATAAGTGAAACTAGCAGTATATAAGTGAAACTAGCAGTATATAAGTGAAACTAGCAGTATATAAGTGAAACTAGCAGTATATAAGTGAAACTAACAGTATATAAGTGAAACTAGCAATATATAAGTGAAACTAGCAGTATGTAAGTGAAACTAGCAGTATATAAGTGAAACTAGCAGTATATAAGTGAAACTAGCAGTATATAAGTGAAACTAACAGTATATAAGTGAAACTAGCAATATATAAGTGAAACTAGCAGTATGTAAGTGAAACTAGCAGTATGTAAGTGAAACTAGCAGTATATAAGTGAAACTAGCAGTATATAAGTGAAACTAGGTGTATATAAGTGAAACTAAGCGTATATAAGTGAAACTAGCAATATATATGTGAAACTAGCAGTATATAAGTGAAACTAGCAGTATATAAGTGAAACTAGCAGTATATGACTGTAACTAGCAGTATATAAGTGAAACTAACAGTATATAAGTGAAACTAGCAATATATAAGTGAAACTATCAGTATGTAAATGAAACTAGCAGTATGTAAGTGAAACTAGCAGTATATAAGTGAAGCTAGCAGTATGTAAGTGAAACTAGGCGTATATAAGTGAAACTAACAGTATATAAGTGAAACTAGCAGTATATAAGTGAAACTAGCAGTATATAAGTGAAACTAACAGCATATAAGTGAAACTAGCAGTATGTAAGTGAAACTAGCAGTATATAAGTGAAGCTAGCAGTATGTAAGTGAAACTAGGCGTATATAAGTGAAACTAACAGTATATAAGTGAAACTAGCAGTATATAAGTGAAACTAGCAGTATATAAGTGAAACTAACAGCATATAAGTGAAACTAGCAATATATAAGTGAAACTAGCAGTATGTAAGTGAAACTAGCAGTATGTAAGTAAAACTAGCAGTATATAAGTGAAACTAGCAGCATATAAGTGAAACTAGGCGTATATAAGTAAAACTAGCAATATATAAGTGAAACTAGCAGTATATAACTGAAACTAGCGGTATATAACTGAAACTAGCAGTATATAACTGAAACTAGCAGTATATAAGTCTTTGGAAAGTGCAGTAAGTTCTCTTACTAAGCTTCTCAACATAATGGTATTTTTTTCCAAATACAAAAGTTCTTCCAAAATTTAATAGCACGCAGTAAGGTCTTTTTTCATTTGATATTCAATTTTAGAGGCACTTTTTTTTCACCAATCTCTCTAGTCTAGAACTACACTGCATCACATCTCAACTCCTCACTCTCCCTGGGGAGGAGTTAGAGTTCTTTAATTGTTTACCTGACGATGACAATGAGCTCCCCAATTAGCTAGAGGCAACATCAGCAATTTCACGCGTCCTGACTGGGCTCTGGAACCTTCCAAATGCGTGGCCCCTAAGTCAGCCCTGGAACACTCAGGGGTTCAAGAAGTGCATAACCACGTTTGTTGTCTTTCCTCGCAGATGGGAGGTGTGTGTCCAGCGCCGACCTGGTATTCGCTGGCATACGAGCGTCTGCAAGGTGTGTGTGCCACTCTTGAGGAAACTGGGTATCAAGTCTTCGACCCTGACACTCTGGCTCTCATCAACCAGATCTACGGACCGCCCATCCCTAGAGAAACCACTGCGCCCATTCCAGTGACGGAATCCCCTGGAGCCCTCAGAACCGAAGGCGTTGCTCCTGGAGTTTCAGATCCTACAGGCGTAAGCCCTGGAGTCCCAAGTCCTACAGGTGTAAGCCCTGGAGTCTCAGGTCCTACAGGTGTAAGCCCTGGATTCCCAAGTCCTACAGGTGTAAGCCCTGGAGTCTTAGATCCTACAGGTGTAAGCCCTGGAGCTTCAAGTCCTATAGGTGTAAGCCCTGGAGTTTCAGTTCCTTCAGGTGTAAGTCCTGGAGTCATTAGTCCTGGAGTCTCGGTTGCCACAGGTGCAAGCCCTGCAGTGTCTGATTTTACAGGTGTAGGTCCTGGAGTATCTGACCTTACAGGTGTAAGCCCTGGAGTCTCTGATCTTACAGGTGTAAGCCCTGGAATTTCTGGATCAACAGGTGTAATCCCTGCGGTCCTTAGTTCTGGAGTTTCTGATCCTACAGGCGTAAGCTCTGGAACTTCTGGTCTGACAGGTGTAAGTCCTGGAGTCTCCAGTGTTACTGGTGTAAGTCCTGGAGTTTCCGGTGTTGCTGGTGTAAGTCCAGGAGTCTCCGGTGTTACAGGTGTAAGTTCTGGAGTCTCCGGTGTTACAGGTGTAAGTCCTGGACTCTCCGGTGTTACAGGTGTAGGTCATGGAGTCTCCGGTGTTACCGGTGTAAGTCCTGGAGTTTCCGGTGTTACAGGTGTAAGTCCTGGACTCTCCGGTGTTACAGGTGTAAGTCATGGAATCTCCGGTGTTACCGGTGTAAGTCCTGGAGTTTCCGGTGCTACAGGTGTAAGTCCTGGAGTCTCGGGTGTTACAGGGGTAAGTCCTGGAATTTATGGTTCTGCAGATGTGAGACCTGCAATCCCTGGTCCCACTATTGTAGAGGCTGTGCCCTTGAGTCATAAAGTAGTCGGTCCTGGAGACTCAGGTTCTACAACTGATGGTGCTTTAGTCTCTGGTGCTACAGGTGTAAGTCCTGGAATCTCTGGTGCTGCAGGTGTAAGTACTGGAGTCTCTGATACTGCAGGTGTAAGTACTGGAGTCTCTGGTGCTGCAGGTGTAAGTACTGGAGTCTCTGGTGCTGCAGGTGTAAGTACTGGAGTCTCTGGTGCTGCAGGTGTAGGTCCTGGAGTCTCTAGTGCTGCAGGTGTAGGTCCTGGAGTCTCTGGTCCTACAGTTGTAAAAGCAGTACCCTCTGATCATAAAGTTGTTGGTTCTGGAATCACTAGTTCCTCGAGTGTGGTTCCTGGGCTATCTGGTTCAACAAGTCTTGGGTCTGGAACCTCTATTGCTGCTGGAGGCCAAATGGTTTACGGTTCTTCAGTTGGTCCACAAATTGTTCCAGGTGACCAGGGTCTCTCCCATCCATCAACCATCACCAGTAGCCAAAGTCTCTCCCATCCATCAACCATCACTAGTAGCCAAAGTCTCTCCCATCCATCAGCCATCACTAGTGGCCTAGGTCTTTCCCATCCATCAACCATCATTAGTGGCCAAGGTCCCTCGCACCTATCAACAGTCTCTACTGGTCAAGATCTCTCTCGTCCATCAACAATCTCTAGCATCCAAAGTCTCTCTCGTCCACCATCTATCTCTTCAAGTGTCCAAGGGCAGTTTAATATTGCAAATGGTCACGGCCCTTCGAGTCTGGTCGGTGGTCAGAGTTCAGTCAATCAGTTCATTCAAGGGCCTTCTCTCAGCAACGCCTCGGTTGGACATCGCCCCGGGTATTCCATGCGGCCACAGACCCCCTTCATGTCATACGGTGCAGGGACTACCTCATCTCCCGCCTTCGGAAGTCAATCCGCTGGTTCACCTCACATGTACGACGACAGGCGGCATTCGATACAGGAGTTAAACAGGCCTAGCACCACAGATCTCTCACTCGGAGACTCAGTTGAAAAACCTCACGGACAAGCAGCTACGAATATCTTGAAGGGGCAGCTGGTCGCTGGACGCACGGGCATCATGGAATCAGGATCCAGGGAGAGTCTCAGCCTCGACTTTCTTCACACTCCCATGAGCCATAAGCTTCATGGCTTCTTGAAAGGGTTAGTAACACTTGATACTTTCTGCATTACTACTAAAGTTACGACTTTTGTAATATAAGGCCTCTCCCAGAGATGCATTGCTGACACCGGTGTCTTTCAGTGTCTGCAGACACTGGTGTCTTTCAGTGTGTCTGGAGACACTGGTGTCTTGCAGTGTGTCTGCAAACGTTGGTACTTCGCAGCCTCTTTGGTATCTCCAAGTGTATGGTTGATGCTCTTGGTAGTGTAATTCTAAATCTTGTGAATAACATTAGCAACATGCACGAATTAAACCCGAAACAGGAGATATGTAGTGAAAGAGTATGTATGTATGTGTGGAGGGTTATGTGCTTGGAGGATGATGCGGAGTGGAGGGTGCTGTGTGTGTGTGTACTCACCTAACTCACCTAATTGTGGTTGCAGGGGTCGAAACTCAGCTCCTGTGTGTGTGTGTGTGTGTGCATGTGTGTGTGTGTAGGGAATTGTGTGTGGAGTGTACATGAGGGTGAAATGTCTCGAGGGTGGCGTATGGCCATTCGGATGTCCCCGGATGTGTTACTTGTTATACAGCCAATGTGAACACTAACTTGTCACTAATTTTAAAATATTCGTGGCATGAAGAGTGAGGCTCGTTGAGGCTGGTGCCATCCTGCCTCACTTGTTGCCTTGGTTGTGTTGTTGAGGCTGGTGCCATCCTGCCTCACTTGTTGCCTTGGTTGTGTTGTTGAGGCTGGTGCTATCCTGTCTAACTTCCTGCCGTAGTTGTAACTTTCTGTTGTGATGCTTCAGAGTGAAGACCATAATGGGTGACCTGCTGAGCGGTCGTAGTCACCACAGGAGTCGACGAGCGCCTCTCCCTCACGCCACACCTGGTAACGTCTTCGAGACTCGGCTGGTTGGGTGTCGCGCCGGCGCGCAGAGGGACATCAACGCAAAATGCCGGGACACGTGAGTTACCTACCGATTATAACGGTAATGTTCTGCATGACGAAGACTGCAGAGAACCTCATTCATTCCCATAAATCAGGTCAATTATTTGCCAAAACCACCGGTGCCAGCGGTTAGGGATAAGTGTGAATGATTTCTCCGTTCTAGCCACTAGCCCTGATGCCATGACCCTGGTGACTCAAGGTCCTTACAAGGACACCCTGAACATCACTTGGTATCCAAGTAAATGTTTTTAACTTTCACTCTACAATCGTTATTGAATTGCATTTTCTCCCTATTTTGATACTTGTCTCCATTTTTTGTTCTTGAAAGAATCAGAGTTCATTTAATCTATATAAATAACCCTTCTACTTAATTATCATATCTATATACACCTTAACTATTTTACACTGTGTAATTATATATATATATATATATATATATATATATATATATATATATATATATATATATATATATATATATATATATATATATATATATATATATATAATATATATATATATAAGTACGCTTAGATATTTTAACAATCTAACATTATTAATTAAAATTTGGAAACTGAACGTTACTTCGTCCTGTCTGTCACGATCCATATTACAAATGTACTTTTTAAAACGTTCTTGACTCCTCAAGGCAGAAAACTCATCATTATTTCACTGTGTTGTTGTGGTTGCAGAATCCTGCCTTCACATCCCCCTGCCAGCCGGGCCACCAGAGCAGCTCCTCCTGTACCACCCCAGCCTGGATGTCCCAACGTGAGTGTACTCATCTAGTTGTACTCACATAGTTGTGGTTGCAGGAGTCGAGTCACAGCTCCTGTCCCCTGCCTCTTCACTGGTCGCTACAAGGTCCTGTCTCTCCCTGTTCCATGAGCTTTATCAAACCTCGTCTTAAAACTGTATGGTTCCTGCCTCCACTACGTCACTTTCTAGATTATTCCACTTTCTGACAACTCTCTGACTGAAGAATACTTCCTAACATCCCTTTGACTCATCGAAGTCTTCAACTCCCAATTGTGACCCCTTGTTTCTGTGTCTCATCTCTGGAACATCCTGTCTCTATCCACCATGTCAATTCCTCGCAGTACTTTAAATGTCGTAATCATGTCTCCCCTGACCCTCCTGTCCTCCAGTGTCCTCAGACCGATTTCCCTTAACCTTTCTTCGTAGGACAATCTCTTTAGCTTTGGGATTATTCTTGTTGCATTTTATTTCAGTGTTGACACAGTGTTGTGCTGTCTTCCACTTGTCTGTCAGTGTTCCTTTCTGAAGTGAAATCTTGAATTTTTTCCAAAGGGAGTAACTCAATTCTTATGTACATTAAAAAACAAACCTGTTACTGTTTCCTCTGGTTTTATTACGTATTTGTCCACCTCCAATAATAATTTCACTAGATTTTGAAACTTAGTATTTAATATTTCGCGTATTTCGTCTTTCTCTTCAGTGTTTGTGCTGTTATTCCCAGTTCTTTGTATTTTGTCTTTAACGTTTATTTTAAGTTTACTTTCACAAACCTAAAAAAAAAAAGATTTGGTCCCATGTTACTTTTGTCTTCTATTTCCTTTTCAAAGTTCCTTTCTTCTTCGCTCCTTATTGTTGCGTATTTTCACTTCTTTGCTGGCAAGCATATGTTTCAAACTCCCTCATCTTACAAGCAAATTATTTCTCACACCTCGTCCTCCTTCCTACAGGGTCAGGCGTACGATCTACAGCGAACGTGTACGTCGTCATCCAATGCAGTCAATTCCATCAACGCCTTCAACCTCGGGTAGTAGATCTACCAGACCGTTGCTACTGTCCTGGTGCCCCAAGTGATCATCTTACCATTCCTCACACTGTGGAACTGACCTGGTGCTCACATTTTCCCACACTCTCCACAGCCTCACATGTCTTGTCTCTTCTCCTCACATCACATTACATACTTTTACGACCCCTCATTGACTATAATCTCTCTCTCTCTCTCTCTCTCTCTCTCTCTCTCTCTCTCTCTCTCTCTCTCTCTCTCTCTCTCTCTCTCTCTCTCTCTCTCTCTCTCTCTCTCTCTCTCTCTCTCTCAAAGAAATTAACAGCCTCGAAATAAAATAATACTCTATTAACAAATTAAGTGGAGCAGATGAAGTCTCTGGAAAAGTTGTAAAACCAAGTAAATATCGAATGACTTACCCACTAATGTTAATATCTAACATCCCGCTAGTAGACTGGAAGGTATGGTGCTAGTAGACTGGAAGGTATGGTGCTAGTAGACTGGAAGGTATGGTGCTAGTAGACTGGAAGGTATGGTGCTAGTAGACTGGAAGGTATGGTGCTAGTAGACTGGAAGGTATGGTGCTAGTAGACTGGAAGTATGGGCTAGTAGACGAAGTATGTGCTTGCTGAAACACAAATTTGTCACATTCATTAGAAAGTCGAGACTCGTTCCCTCAACCATTGTCCCTCCACCTTAACAGCAGAATATAAAACACCTGTGCAACATTTGGGAATCAATATTGAGGGAGGAAACGTTTCGCCAGCCATTGGCTTCTTCTGTCCAGTACAAAAATGAAAGGTGAAAGATGAGGGGAAATTTGAGGTAATCAGTCCCTTAGTCTGGAGTCAGTCCTTATGGACTGAACACATCGACATCTAGACCGAGGGACTGATTACCTCAAACTTCTCCTTTTCTTCTAACGTTCTTTCTTGCAGTGGACTGAAGAAGTCACTGGCTGACGAAACGTTTCTCCCTCAATAAAGATTCGCAAATGCTACACAGGTGTCTTTTTCGGTTTTCTAAATCATTTATCACAACTTAGTTATTTTAGGTAAAGAAATAATAACAGTAACAAAAGATTGTGCCTGTCTTAGTGGATTTTTTTTTTTAATTTATTTGCAAAAACCGGGGCTTAAATAAATCCCCAATAGGTGTAGTACTGTGTATCGGATTATCGAAAATCATTCGACAAGGTACTCCGTCGAAGAGTGCTGACCAAAATAATGGTGCATAGTATAGAAGACACTTCTTGCCTGGGTTAATGGTTGGCTCACCAGTGGGAAGCAGCGAGTGGCACTGGACGGAGAGGTATCTGAGTGCTACTGGACGGAGAGGTGTCTGAGTGCTACTGGACGGAGAGGTGTCTGAGTGGCACTGGAGGAGAGGTGTCTGAGTGCTACTGGACGGAGAGGTGTCTGAGTGCTACTGGACGGAGAGGTGTTTGGAGTGGGTATTGACTGAGGGTCCTGAGGAGCTCTACCTGTCCCAGCATCCTGATCATGACTGAGAGTAGTCTGATTCGCAACATTGTGGGATTCACAGATTATGAGGAAAAATGGGCATACAAAGAGGGTTGGGTATTCCGAGTGATTGATAAACTGGAGCCTATATCCAGGCACCCGATAACTTAGATGAGTTAACATTTTTATGAACAAATATGAGAAATAATGCATAAAGCATTAACCCAATATGGATAAACATGAGTAATCAAAAAGTGTTTCTTGGCAGCAAAATAATCAACGATAGCAAATAACCTGGACAAATTCAATAAACATCAGAAGATGTCAAATAACTCACAGACAACGACTTTGCTACTGTCATGTCTCACGAAATCGTATAACACGATTACAAACAAATCAGGGAATGGATGGGGCTTAAACCCATGGCAAGTGGGTCTTAAATTCACTGACCAGTGCGTTAACCACTGGTCAGTTGGCTAGGTGTATGTCTACACACTATAGGGAGGTTAGCATGGGCCACCACTGTGACCACAAGTGGAGGCTTTTACAGTCGAATCGTACTATTTCTGGAGTTGCTAGTTGTTAATTAAGGATTGGTGACTTCTACCCAGGATGTGATAAGCTCGATACGAAGTTCTTCCCTGTAACTCGAAGATATATACCAGCTTATCTTGCTGCTGCGGTGCCTCATTGATCTACGATAGAATTAATCGGCCCTTTAGTTTTGCTTTTAGTGTCAAAAGCAATTTTCTATTGGATAAAGGCAAGGAGAAGGAGACTGTAAGTAATGGATTCCCCAAATCTGACACTATTTTAGCACAAGGTGAACTGTCCCTGTTCCGAGGCATTCTTCATCCTGAAGGCCTGCATGAAGCAACGACAGGTAATCAATGTACACTTTTTTTGTAAAGCAAGTTTTGTGTTTATTTCAAGGTACACCAACCTCACTCCTGTCTTACATTGTGACAATACTTGTATTGCTCCACGTTGACCTCCCATGATCCTGTTCACGCTTCGCTGGGACAAACTAATCGATGGATTCCTGAAGTTAGCTCAACAACTTCATCCAGACCAACAGTCGTCTGTAAGCTAGCCAAGTTACTAGTAGTAGTGGTAGAAGTGGCGGAGGTAAGATAGAAGTAGCAGTGTGCTGGTTGTTGTAGTCATGGTGGTAGCCACCGGTACCTTGATGCTTCCTGCAGTGGTATGGGCTCACTCCAGTGGTATGAAATCACTCTAGTAATATTAAGTCACTCCAGTGGAATGAGATCACTCCAGTGGTATATCTCTTCAGTGGTATGAGATTACTCTAGTGATAATAAGTCACTCCAGTGGAGTCATGTCGCTCAAGTGGTACAAGCTCACTCCAGTGGTACAAGTTCATTCCAGTGGTATGAGCTCACATCAGTGGTATAAGATGTTCACTTGTTCATGTAGACGTGTCCCACATTATCCAGAACTAGTACTAGTGGTAACTAGAAGACCCACTGGTACACACAGCTCTGTGGGTAGCAATGGAGTAACACCAGTAGTTGTTGTAGGAAGAGTACCAATACCAGTAGTTGTTGTAGGGAGAGTACCAATACCAGTAGTTGTTGTAGGGAGAGTACCAATACCAGTAGTTGTTGTAGGAACAGTACCAACACCAGTAGTTGTTGTAGGAACATTACCAACACCAGTAGTTGATGTAGGAAGAGTACCAATACCAGTAGTTGTTGTAGGAAGAGTACCAATACCAGTAGTTGTTGTAGGAAGAGTACCAATACCAGTAGTTGTTGTAGGAACAGTACCAATACCAGTAGTTGTTGTAGGAACAGTACCAATACCAGTAGTTGTTGTAGGAAGAGTACCAATACCATTAGTTGTTGTAGGAAGAGTACCAATACCAGTAGTTGTTGTAGGAAAAGTACCAATACCAGTAGTTGTTGTAGGAAGAGTACCAATACCAGTAGTTGTTGTAGGAACAGTACCAATACCAGTAGTTGTTGTAGGAAGAGTACCAATACCAGTAGTTGTTGTAGGAACAGTACCAATACCAGTAGTTGTTGTAGGAAGAGTACCAATACCAGTAGTTGTTGTAGGAACAGTACCAATACCAGTAGTTGTTGTAGGAAGAGTACCAATACCAGTAGTTGTTGTAGGAACAGTACCAATACCAGTAGTTGTTGTAGGAAGAGTACCAATACCAGTAGTTGTTGTAGGAACAGTACCAATACCAGTAGTTGTTGTAGGAAGAGTACCAATACCAGTAGTTGTTGTAGGAACAGTACCAATACCAGTAGTTGTAGGAACAGTACCAATACCAGTAGTTGTTGTAGGAACAGTACCAATACCAGTAGTTGTTGTAGGAAGAGTACCAATACCAGTAGTTGTTGTAGGAACAGTACCAATACCAGTAGTTGTAGGAACAGTACCAATACCAGTAGTTGTTGTAGGAACAGTACCAATACCAGTAGTTGTTGTAGGAACAGTACCAATACCAGTAGTTGTTGTAGGAACAGTACCAATACCAGTAGTTGTTGTAGGAAGAGTACCAACACCAGTAGTTGTTGTAGGAACAGTACCAATACCAGTAGTTGTTGTAGGAACAGTACCAATACCAGTAGTTGTTGTAGGAACAGTACCAGAAATCAGAGGTAGTTTAGAGTTCATGCCGTCCATCCACCTACGTCTCTCCTCTACATTCCATGCCGTTTTTCTCAACATGATTTAGTATATTTTTCCCCATTTTTTTCAGTGCAGCAGTGACACCTGAGGGAGTGGAGGTCAGGGAGAGAGCCTTCTGCTTTACTATAATGCCTCAACCATCTAGATAACACAACATTCCTTAATTTAGAGAGAGAATATTTCTTCTCAGCCTCCATGTGGACCTTAAAGTCCTCTGTTATTTGTCTTCTCTCTCTCTCTCTCTCTCTCTCTCTCTCTCTCTCTCTCTCTCTCTCTCTCTCTCTCTCTCTCTCTCTCTCTCTCTCTCTCTCTCTCCCAACACGTTATTTGTCTTTTCACAAAAATATTTTAATATTTTTATAATGTATTTAAGTATTCTTGTATTAGATACTGTTCAATCATTTGTCCTTGTTCATAATGTATTTGTAATATATAATAAAATAGACAAAATATCTGGCCTCTCCTTTTTCCTGTTTGTACTCACCTATTTGTGGTTGCAGGGGTCGATTCATAGCTCCTGGTCCCGCTTCTTCACTGATTTCTACTAGGTCCTGTGTCTCTCCCTGCTCCATGAACTTTATCAAACCTCGTCTTAAAACTGTGTATGGTTCCCGCCTCCACTACGTCACTTTCTAGGCTATTCCACGGCCTGGCAACTCTATGACTGAAGAAATACTTCCTAACATCCCTGTGATTCATCTGAGTCTTCAACTTCCAATTGTGACCTCTTGTTTCTGTGTCCCATCTCAGTCTTCAACTTCCAATTGTGACCTCTTGTTTCTGTGTCCCATCTCTGGAACATCTTGTCTTTGTTCACCTTGTCTATTATGCACAGTATTTTATATGTCGTTATCATGTCTCCCCTGACCCTCCTGTCCTCCAGTGTCGTCAGGCCGATTTCCCTTAACCTTTCTTTGTAGGACAATTCCCTTAGCTCTGGAACTAGTCTTGTTACAAACCTTTGCACTTTATCTAGTTTCTTGACGTGCTTGACCAGGTGTGGATTCCAAACTAGTGCAGTATACTCCAGTATGGACCTGACGTAAATGGTGTACAGTCTTGAAGGATTCCTTACTGAGGTATCGGAACGCAATCCTTAGGTTTGCCAGGCGCCCGTATGCTACAGCAGTTATCTGATTGATGTGCGCCTCAGGAGACGTGCTCGGTGTTATACTTATGCCAAGGTCCTTTTCCTTGAGTGAGGTTTGCAGTCGTTGGCCATCTAAACTATATTGTGTCTGCGGTCTTCTTTGCCCTTCCCCAATCTTCATGATTCTGCATCTGACAGGGCTAAATTCAAGGAGCCAGTTGCTGGACCAGGCTTGTAGCCTGTCCAGGTCTCTTTGTAGTCCTGCCTGATCCTCGACCTATTTGATTCTCCTCATTAACTTCACATCATTTGCAAACAAGGACACTTTTGAGTCTATCCCTTCCTTTATGTCATTCGCATATACCAAAAACAG